AGTTGCCTACCTCACAAACGACTATATACCCAAGCATGAACATCTTTAAGATTCAAATGTCATACTGATTGATGAGTGTCATTCATATTGTGCTGAAAATGCCCAATCAGAACAATTCTTTGGGATCTTTATTGTGATTGCTAATTTTGTTTTACTGAATTCCACAATCCAGTGACAGTTGCTTCGCAGTCAATTTCCAAACCAACCAATTTCTGATATATGATTAAACCTGGACCTAATACCCTACCAATCTCCAACCCTAAGCCTAACCTCAAGTGTTAAGTGCAGCCTAAACACTAAACTTATACCTTTGTTGACATGAAGCCATGATGAAATGTCTGGTGACTTTGCTTAGGGTATCATGGATAAAAACTGTGTCCTCTTGTTAATTTATGCTCTGTTCCTGCATGAAAACCAGTGATGAACCTTGTGGAAACATAAACGTATAGGGCCTAAATAAATAATGAAAAATAAACTATCGCTGCTACAAATCTTGAATCTTTATCAAACCAGATCCGATCCACACGCCCACCTCCTCGTCCTCGCGAGTTGACGATCACGAAGAAACTCCTGAAGAGATGCAGCAACGCATTCTTGCAAACCTGAGAAAAATGAGGTAAGCTACAGTAAGGCCTTTGTACTAGCTACAGTCAAACCTGCTTTAGCGACCACCTGTCTATAAAGACCACATTTATTGTTTCTCTTGAAAATATTTTGTCATTGAAACCTGTACTGAATGAACCTGTACATAAAGACCCCCTACCTATAAAGACCACTTTTCATGTTTCACTTAACTTAAGCGATCTTTATATGTACAGGTTTCACTTCGTTATTATCTGGCCTATGATGCATAAGTTCTAGTGATTACCATCACAATCTTGTATCTTTCTCAAGAATATATTTCATGAAATTGCTTTTAAAGTAAGTGTGTTGCCCCAGGAAATTGATTATGGGGGGAAATGTTGATATTTTATTCAGAATAATTTACTTCCATTGTCGTGAAAAGCAGTGTAAAAATTCTGATCTAATGGCTTATCTTTGCTCTAACAATTGAATTGAAGCTATCAAACTAAACACAAAGTGTTCAAATTTTCCATGAAACCCAACTCCAAATCGATTTCACACCAAACAATTTTTTGGCCATCAGAGGGTAATATATTATTTGTTGGTCTGGTGACGGTCACATCGGTGTAACTGAGATATTAGCAATAGATCTTAATTTATTAGAGACATTTTCTATCTAGTAATCAATTTTATTCATAGATGTCCTATTTGGCCATGGAATTCCTTAGAATTTCTTATTAGGGTCAGGGTATTTCTCCTCTTATTTGTTCTCTTTTAATCATCTAGAAATGACCTTGAGAGAGACAAGAGGGAGTTGGACACAGCTGTCTCACAGTCTTCCAAGCGTTCTTATGAAACAACACAGGCGATACAGTACTATATGGTGAATTCAGTTTACAACATTTTGCTATTAGATGTGATGTGTTAAGAGAAACATTGTTTTAGTGAAGGCTTTACTTAATCACATTTGTGCAAAAAAACTTGTTATTAACTATGTATAAAGGTACTTGTTGACAGTTTTGTTTCTGGTAACCCTTTACAGAGTGGAGAAACGTCAGGTAGTATTCCTTTTCTTGTTTTTTTCCTGTTTGGGGGAGGAGGAGGGGGGGGGGGGCTGATGCTAGCAATAGAAGAGGGGTTAACAATTGGTTTTACCCAGGAAAAATTAAATCATCTTTTGATACATGAAGCATTTTGTTCATTCAGTAATGAGTAGGACACCTGATTGTTTTTATGCCTCCGCCACCGAAGGTGGTGCCGGAGGCATCATGTTTTCGGGTTGTCCGTCCGTACGTCCGTCCCGTTTGACCGTTATCACAATATCTCAAGAACCATTTAAGATTTAAACTTAAGACTCGGGAATAGTATTTATCACCATAGGAAGACGATCTGATTAGATTTTGGAGTACGTAGGTCAAAGGTCACAGGTCACAGAGGTCAACTTATGAAATTCCTTGTATTGAGTTTGTTAGCGCGATATCTCAAGAACCATTTGAGATTTAAACTTCAAACTTAAGGATAGTATGTATCACCATAGGAAGACGATCTGATTAGATTTTGGAGCACGTATGTCAAAGGTCAAGGGTCACAGAGGTCAACTTATGAAATTCCATACATTGAGATTGTTATCATGATATCTCAAGAACCACTGGAAATTTAAGTAGTAGTAGTAGAATGGTTTTTTATTAGACAACTTCAAAATGGTAGCTCGAAAGCTAAATTACATTGCAAGTTTTACATGTATTAAAAATCATTTCAACAAACTTAGATAATATGGACAAGTACACATAATACACAGTCGGTTAGATCATAACTAATTACATATTCCCTACTTACAAACAAATTGATGAAACAAATAAAATAGATTCTTATAGATTTAAACTTCAAACTTAATGATAGTGTGTATCACTATAGGAAAACAATCTGATTACATTTTGGAGCACGTAGGTCAAAGGTCAAGGGTCATAGAGGTCAACTTATGAAATTCCATACATTGAGATTGTTATCATGATATCTCAAGAACCACTGGAGATGTAAAAACTTCAAACTTAAGGATAGTATGTATCACCATAGGAAGACGATCTGATTAGATTTTGGAGCACGTAGGTCAAAGGTCAAGGGTCACAGAGGTCAACTTATGAAATTCCATACATTGAGATTGTTATCATAATATCTCAAGAACCACTGGAGATTTAAACTTCAAAATTAATGATAGTGTGTATCACCATAGGAAGACAATCTGATTAGATTTTGGAGCACGTAGGTCAAAGGTCAAGGGTCACAGAGGTCAACTTATGAAATTCCATACATTGAGATTGTTATCATGATATCTCAAGAACCACTGGAGATTTAAACTCCAAACTTGTTTAAATTGCTCTTTGGCGGAGGCATCATTTTCGACTGCGCGCAGTCAAAATTCCATCTAGTTTTTTCTCAGAGAAAACAAGTGAAATAAGTATTAAAACCTCTTTATTAATGAACATGGTTTTGTTTTTGATTTTTCAGATCAGGGATATTCTTGTAGATGTGGTGAATGAAGTAGTGGATAAATGCAGCGACAGGGCAAAGTCAAAGAAGAAAAATGATATGACAAGGTGAGTGCATGCTTCCACAATTTTGATTGGAGTATGAATTTAAGTTGTTACAGTTTCAATTTTGTTGAATAAGTTTGAAATATGAAACACTAACAGGAAGTTGAATGCGTTGGATAAAGATATAGATGACCCCCCCCCCCCCCCACAACATCTACTTCCAGACATATGTAGGGAATAGTTCCTAAAAGAGAAACCCTTTTTTGTAGTAGTTGTCTCAGAGTAAATTTCTTAGGGTGCATTTGTCATAGGTGGTTGGTAACTGTCAAGGGGGCAGGTGTCCAGGATGTGATAGTCCACAACTAGTTCTAAAATCCTTTATACAACACAATACATGTCCTAGGACAAGTCCAAGTTATTTTGTCAAGTACATTACTAACATCATATTTAGTTCCCGAGGCAGATCAAGGAGAATGTGCATTCACTGTGTGTCGGCAACTCTTAATCCAATAACGGGATTAATAATATATCAGTGAAATACTTTGACACATTGCACATATATCAAGTGCTACATATGTGATATATCTCCCAAATTGACAAGCCTTAATTGTCCCCACTTCTTGTTCCCTTTAGGTTGCTTCTAGCAGCAGCAGAGAAAGACTATGATTCATCTCAGAATTTCCAGAGCAAGGAGAGAGCCATGCAACTCATATCAGAGGAAATATTCCTTCAGGTAATCAAGATTATCACCAGAAACTTGTTATCTTTGATTCAATTTGAGTGAAAGTTGCAATTGGAGCATCCTAGGGGGCGGTTTAGGGCAACCAAATCAGTTTGGTTCATTTGCTCATTTATGTCCAATGTCAGTAGCCATGTCGGCAATAATCTGACTGTATAATTTTACTGTAAGGCAGCATGATGGCTCAGAGTTGGAGCAGCGGTCTCTCTAGAAGGTCCTTGGCTAGAAACAATCTTGTGCCCTTTGGTATAAAGGCAGTAGCCCTCATTACCAAGTTCCACAGATAGGACTTAATTCAGAGGTCCCCTAAGCATCATTTTACGAAACCATGATAAGTACAAGTTCACCAACATCCAATTGAATCATGTTTGATGCATTTCAGTCGGTTTTCGGCCTACTTATGACGGTTTTGTGAAACACTGCCCTGGTTGCATGCTTATCTACAAATATACACTTACTTCCTTTGCAGTCAGGTAAACTAAACCATTAATCAATCAATCAAGTCCCCCATTCTATATTATCTTTGTTCTACACTGGTGAGAAGCCTGATTACATACATGTGTATGGTTGCTCCTTTGACAGATGACGGCTAAAATGTGTCTGGAGACAGTGCAGGAATGGGTCAGCACAGAGGACTATGTGAAATCTTCAATTCAGAGACTCATCATCAACTCAGCAGAGGTAAAACTAAATCCAGATTTGTATTACCATTCACATTCAGAAAAACGTATGATTTGAGGCTTGTTCACACATGACACAGTTAACCACCGTGGCAAAATAAAAACTTAGTTTACGTTTATTTAATAGCATTGAATTGCAACGAATTGCTGCAAGCAATAAAACATTCTTACAGTTACAGATATAAGAACATTGGATGGAGTACTCTTTAATTATGATTTCAGTTTGTTTGGGCCCTCAGGGAGAACAGTTTAAATACTGATGAGGCTACCCTGGGTAAACAAGACATATTATTATTATTATTATTATTATTAAGAAGCTCTCAAATGATGTTTCAATGTTCCCAGAAATCTGTCTTCACTAAATGGATTTTTGTTTTTTTAGTATTAAATAGTCAATTCTCTTTCTGATAGACTATCGCCACAAACAATCAAGCAGGCAGAAAGGACGACGACCCTGCCTATGACCTTATCCCAGCGACCTACTTCCACATGTACAAGGAGAGACGAAAGAAAAGGTTAGGCAATTCGGGTTTGCTTTTGTAACATCTCGTAAAAGTATATGCCTTTTTCTTTAACATGGGTTCAAATAGAGCCAATGCCTTTGCACATATAGTCTTTTATTGATTTAAGATCTATTATAATGAAAGAAATCCCCGATGATCCCCGATTTTCTCTGATGTTTGATTTTTATATCAATGTCTTTATTCTTCTGATGTTATTCCATGTGAAAGTGACTAGTAATCCTTTTTTTTTTTCCTTCTCTGAACTTTTATACACCGTCGGTGGGGTGACAAAACCTTGTATCTCAAAAATCATGAATTTTCAGGAGAGCGAAAAAACTTTCCTGTCTCAACACAGATTTAGTGCTGTGACACCATCCTTTGTGTGGAATTTGTGAAAAAACCGAGACAGGAGGCGTTCCATGGATTTATCAGGTGCTGTCGTAGGCCATTAGGTACAAAATTATGCAAAAAAATCAAAATCTCAAAAAATTGAGATACAAGGTTTGGTCACTTTACCAACGACATATCATGAAGGATATATTTTGTGATTTCACTTTTTCTTTTAAATGTACATGTACTCTTGTCTGATCTGATATTTTCTCCAGCTGCAATTACTCCAGGCTTTATTTTTTCAAAGATAGAGGAGTAGGGTTGCCCTTGGGTTGGTTTTAGGCTAAGTTTAGGGTAAGGGTGACGTGCAGTGTTTGGTCCAGGGTTGAAGTTAGAAATTTGGTTAGTGTATGGAATTGACTGCAGAGCAATTGCTGCTTGGGCATGAAAACATGTTTATCATAGAACGCACAAGCTGTCACAAAAAACAGAAATATGTAAAATACAACTATCCTCTTATTCAAATTTGGAAATACATTTTCTGAAATGAATAGAAATAACATTATCTGTCACTGGTTTCATTTATAACAGGTCCACTGTTTGGAAGCATACCCAAACTGTTCACTATGTAGACTCAGAGAATGACAGTGTCATGTGAGTATTTCAAGTGGCTCCTTACAATGTTGTATTACTTTACTTAGGAACATAGCGCTCCTTCATACCTCCTTTATACAATGCAGGGACTAATTTTCCTGGTATCACATAGCAATTTGCTGTGCATTTTTTATATGACTGCTATACAAAATATCATGTGTGTAGCAATTTTCTTCCATAGAAGTGTACACAATTTCATTTGAAACATTGATCTATCTGCTTAAATTGCTTATCAAGTTTGAGGATGTAAAATTATTCCCTGACAATGCCTTTAGTGACTCTAGATAAATCTATGGGGTCGAGACAACTATGATAGTTAAATATAGAAATATGTGTTCAAAGATAAGTAATAACCTTAATCATTAGCCTGTCAATACTAAGCGATGTCACAAAACAACATCCTTGCCATCTATCTCACATCACAGAGCATCGGTACCAAATGCTGAAAATTCACCACAGTTCTTGTTTTCTCTATGATAAGGTTGATTACAAGCGTTACATATAATAAATAGAGCCCCGTTTATATGTATTCAATGTTTTTACTTGGTGAGATGGAGAAAAAAAATCAAGTTGGTGTAAGGTGTATTTAGCCCATCTAACCAACAATAAATACTTAAAATAGCAACGACATACCAAAGCTTTTTCGTCTTGCCCTCTTCAGAGAAAATCGCAAGAATAAACAAAAAGCCGAAATCAGACAATATAAGGAAAAGCTTATTTAGCAACTAACTCTGATGAGAGCAAGACAAAATGCTTTAGTATGTTTGTTTTCATTGTTATCTCTTGATTTTGTAGTACCAATCATCTCTTTAATAAATACTCACATGAAATCTCCTAGGTCTGGGATTACTGCTGACCATGATAGCACCAAGCTGAGCATGGCCAGACTGGTTCCTGTCCAACTCTGGACGGAGAAACGATTTACACCTTCACTCAAGAACTACATCAAACGGGAGAAAGAACATTGGCAGGTAGAATCTTTATCATGTTTGTCAGGGGTAACAGGGAGAGTTTGCTGGTGTAAAATTGTTGTAGTCAAGGCCTTGTTGATATAACAGTTTCAGAAGTGAGAGAACAGTAAATCATATGGGTGAATTTGGTCTACAACCAGTTCGTCTACTACCCAATTAGTCTATTCCCAGATGGTCTACAACCAGTTCTTCTTACTACCCAATTAGTCTATTCCCATTTGGTCTACACCCAGCCCGTCTACTATCCACATGGTCTAATAACCATTATGTCTACTTTTCATTTGTTCCTTTGACCGTTTAGGCTAATAGTCATTTGGTCTAATTTCCATCTGGGTGTAGACCATATGTGAATAAACCAATGATATTTACAGTAAATGATATATACAGTACACGATGCAGATCAGTAAGTAGAGGAAAGATATTGAATTGTTTTCCTGCCCAAGGAATTAATATATAATAATTCCTAATTACTGTCCCATCATATGCACCAAAGAAACAAAGGAAGAGGCAGGAACCTTCATTGTTTGAGCACTGCTCAGATAGTAATAACTCATGGATTAAAATTTACAATATTGTGGGGAAAGTAAATTCAAGTAAATATAGACTGTTGCACATACAGTTGGAACTTTTGTTCTTACCTCGTCCGATGGAAGGTTGGGACAGTATGGTTTATTTATATCTTCTCAGAAAACTTCTCAGAATCTCTATGAAGAAGATCTAAACTTTATCTATCAAGAGTAATCCATATTGTCACAATCACTTCATGAAAAGAAGCAAGAAAAATACTATTCCAACTTTTTGGGCAACAATGTAGTTTGATTACCGTTATTATTTTCAGGAGGTATATCTGAGTATAGGACCATTTTAATTCTTTAGCAATTTGAGATCTATATAAAAATGTAAATGCCCCAAAACACATGACTGATTTCAGGACTTTACATTGTACTGACTGAGCACTTATTTGTTGTCATTGTTTTCTTTTCGTTAATTGATTGTCCTGCACTAGCCTGATCTCATGACGATTCATCCATTCATCATACATGTGACGAAAAGAGTTTCTGGTGTCTTAACAATGGCAGTCTCCCCTACGCAGAGAATGATAGCTATGGGTACCGTCAGAGGTAGGTTTAAAGGGGAAGTCAACCCGATACCTGTTTGATTTTAATAAAAAGCAGAAAACTATGAGGACAACTCCCCCTCCCACCGAGGAGCTTGACCATTCATCCGTCCATCATGCATGTGTCATGTGACAAAAAGAATTTTGTGGTCTTAATGATGACAGTCTCCCCTATGCAGAGAATGATAGTTATAGAAGCAGGTTTAAAAAGGAAGTCAACCCTGACATCAAGTTGTTTTTTATTTTTAAAATTAGGGAAGGAAACTTCTTTTCATTTTACAATAATTTCAGTACCTAAAATTGAGTAAATAACAATACCTTGCATCATTAAAGCCTATCTACACTAGTTTGGCCAGGAGGTATTAGACCTCCCTGCATGTTCACTGACGGGTGGTTATCTCATCAAATCAGCTCTCAATTAACATAAGAAAAGGGGACCATGGGGGACAAATGGTCACCGCTTAAGCATTGTTTGCTATATAGAGGGCGCAAGTAGCTATAAGTAGTGCAGTGAGGATTTAAAACTTCCTACTTTTATCAAATTATGTAAAAGCATGGTTGAAGAAGAGCGATCCTTCGAGAAGACAGCATTGCACTTTTGGTAAAATTTCAAAATTTGATAAATACAATAATTGGAGGTTTGAATGTAATTTCCTGTGCTTGCTCATCCCAACCCCAGGTGATATATTTATCTTTGATCTCTTGTACGACTCCTCCAATCCTGTCCGCTACATAAAGAACGAGGGCGCCTCATCGGATGGAGTCATGCAGATCTCATGGAGCCTCGACAGTAACCGGATCATCAGTCTCAATGAATCGGTAGGTTCTAAAATATGATTGGTTATCGGCTACCCTACTCTTTTCCATGTAGTTTTCAGATTGCATTGTGAGATGTCCGCTAACTCTATGTTCCCACTATTTTATGGACATTGTATTTTCCATGTTCAGTGGAATTATCGAGAAATTGCCATTTGTGTTTACAAATCTTGCATGAAGCGGCAGCAAAACTTGGTTTCCCACTAACAACTTTCTACAAAAGACTTGTTAACCATTCTGTCATCTTTTGGGTTTTGAAATAGTGATGATGAATTTTCCTTACAGTCTTATTTTGAAGTGGATGGAGGCGGTAGAAGTAAAGCCCACTCTCAGTGACTGGTTATATCTGTTAAGGCTTATTCACATTTGACATGACAAAGTAAACTGCCGCAAAAGAAACCCCCAAAACCTGACCTTTTTTATTATGTGTAAATGTTTGGCAACTGCACGCAACAAAGGTCCTACACACATTCACTGAGCTCTGTGTTACAGGATGCAGAAATGGGAAGCGTATAACACTTACATAATAAAAATAAACCACCACAGTTTACTTCTTCATATCTAAACGGGGCTTTGTTGGGTAAATACTGGTAGCAGAGCTTGTCCAATTCCTCACTAAAACCAACAACTGTGTCTTAGGTGACCTTGCTCCCTGATCTCTATGATTTTGCTTTGTTTATATTTTTTTACAGGGGTCTGTCTTCATGTGGTCATTGCACCCTGGTGGCTCCAACACCAAAGACAGCAGGAGTCTCGATTTTAAAGACTCTAATGATGAGATAGTGCCTTCGCAATTGACCCTCCTCCTAGCCCTTGACCCTGATGCAGAAGACTTTGACTTTCAAGAAGGTGAGCGCACTTTTGCTTGAAAGAATTGTTTTGCTGACTAAAAGTAATTCAATGTTTAATTAGTGTTTAGAGGAACATGATTTTGCATAAGGATACTCTGCTGGTAAAATAGGCAAGTATAAGTAGAAATGTGTTGAGATCTTCTTCCCTTGTATGAGAGCTTTACATATGTTGGTCATTGATATATTTATGTCGGGGGAAAGCCTGCAAAGAGATTTCTGCATTGCTCTACTTCCCCTAATATAATTTCTGTCTTTCTTTTCATCTGTCCAATTCTCTTATAATTTTTCTTTGAATTCCATCTTCTCTTCTCTCCGCTCCTTTTCCTTTTGTATGTATCATCCATCTCTCTCTCTCCCTCTTTTTATTTTTCTTCCTCTCTCTCTCTCTCTCTCTCTCTCGCTCTCTCTCACCCTCTTTCCCCCAATTCTCTCCTCTTTCCCTCTTTCTCCTCCTGTCTCTCCCTCTCTACCTCTCCCCCTCTCCTTCTCTTTCCTCTACCTCCTTCCCAAATGTCCTTCATCTTCTTACAACCCGTTTCACCATACCTTCACAGGTCCTCTAGCCCGCAGTGTAGCTCAGACAGAGTCCCAGACACCCATCGTGACTGCCTTCCATCCCTCACACACCCTCATTGGATCCCAGGTAGATATGGAAGAGATCATTTCATCTGCTTGGAGCAACAAGGGCTTTCTTTAACTCTGTTTCAAAGTGTACAAGTTAAAGCCCTTATTGCTCTAAACTGATAATCTGTTTAGAAAGTGAATAAATTATATGAGTCTGTGAGTGCCTAAAACTAAAAAATTAAAACCAATGTTACCAGTATGTGTAAATGAGATATGAATGGCACATGTGGTTGAAAAGAAAGGTGCATAAAACGAAGGCCTCATAATATCTGTTTGCTGTAAGATACAGAAATGTATTATGCTCATGTTGTTTATTTCTTTCCAAGTAGTTTTCTGCGTCATATACAGCTTAATGATTGGCTGCAAACTTTGTTCAGGGAGATGCAAACTAAACCCGCGCTGCATGAACAGTATCACATTATCATGGTGTGACAAAAAATACAATGTATACAGATACATTTTGTTTAGAAAAAAAAAATGTTTCAAAGTTTTGACTTTTCTCTGACATTAACATGACACCTGTTTGAACCAACACTGATAGATTACATGTCTATAGCATTTATCTTTCCTTTCAATAAAAACAAAACAAGGGAAAATGAGAACAATTTGCCTTTGCTGTCTGCCCTCTAGCAGGGTATGATATATTGATAACAAATATATTATATGTATGATTCTTTCTACAGAATAGTCTTGTTGTGAGCTTTGAGAGTGGAGACATTTACAAGTGCAATATAGAACATCAGATAACAGAGACTTCAGAAAGCTTCGAGAATACAGAGAATGTCATGTTTCCTACAGTGAGTAGGGAATGTAGTTTAGTGTCTGATCCCGGGCCCCCCCCCCCCACTCAGTGTTATTTAGGGTACGTGTATGCATGTTCCCTCGTTGTGTACTAGGAGCCGGACTTTGGTGCGTAAAAAGTACCCCTTTAACTGACATTTTGGGAACATGCATGCGGTCCCTCCGACCCTGGAGTGGGGGGGGGGGGGGCTGGGTGTGTAATACTTCTATAAGTATAATGTAAGGAGAACATTGTGTTTCCTACTGCAAACTTGAGGTGAAATGGTATTCTTTATGCCTACAATATTTTTAATGAAATGTATACTTTGCTTTGTTTGAATTAAAAAGTGGTTGGGGGGGGGGATGCCCATGGTTATGCATAAACATATTGCTTTAGAGAAATATTTTATATATGAGTGTTTATTATTCTTAGTAATCCTGCTGTCTTTAACCTTGTGAACTGATTTCTTTGTCTATTGCCCCAAATTATTAATGTTACCTATGATTAAAGGGCAATCCAACCTTTGTAATAATTTATTTGTACGAAAGTAGAAAAATATGAGAAACAGAATGGCGGAAGTTTGAAATAAATCAAACCGTATTTATGCACAACTCCCCTGTTTGTCGTGCACAAAATCTATCAATAATGTCTGTTTTTCTTCCAAGTGCCCTACATACAGTGTACTTCACTGATAAAGACAGGTTAATATTCCCAAAGCTCTTTGGAAGCGCATAGGAACATCATATCATGATGTGATGTGTGCTACACAAGAACAGAATATTATCATTACACTGAAACCTGGTTTAGCGACCACCTGTATATAAAGACCATATTTTTTGTTTCCCTCGACAATCGTTTCTTATAGGAACCTGTAGTTAGGGAACCTGAAGATTAAGACCTCCTGTATTATAAGGACCACTTTTCTTATCACCCTTGAATGGTCTTTATACAGGTTATATAATGTACATAAACGAATGCAATATAATTCTTCTGTATTGTCATGTTACTGATTTATTTACTATGTTTTGTAATGCTATTTTACATGTATATATATATATATATACATCGCTGTACCTTTGTAAATTGATCCTTTCAGCCTTGTGCTGCTGGTCGATCATTATATACCATAAAATAAATAAAATATAAATAAAATTCTTTGTGACCTAGGTTCAAGGAGCAGGGGACACGATCGGTCAGGACATCCCTGTGGAACTCTTCAGGGCACACAAACATGCCGTCATCTACCTGGGCTACGTCGGTAACTATGGCAACATGATTTCTGTGGATGTCAAAGGTTATATCTTCATCTGGAAATACACCAGGTAAGAAGAAGAAGAAGGAAAACTTTTATTGCTTTATAAACTTTTCCTTTTGATATACTCTGTTGAGTGTCACATGATAGCTTCATTGCATTTAAGATGCTCTCTAAAGCTTGTCCTATTTTTATATAATGTGCTATACAAATCTTACAAACTTATGATCATATGTTTATGCTGTATTGTGTTTTTATATTGCAGGAGGAAAATCAGTCACTATGGTTGGTTTGAACCGATAGAGAAATACTGGTTAGAAATGGCAAATGAGATGTACTCAACAATGAACAATGAAACACCAGAGGTAAATATATTCATGAAAAAATGATAGTTTTTTAGTTTTAAGCTGTGTTAGTTTTGTTAGTTTGGGCCCATAGAAAGTAGTGGTTGGAAATGGCATACACACTGTATATTATCTTACTACTGCTTGGGTTCTGAGGGAGATTATGGATTATAAATCGTGTAATTTCAGTAGGTTTAAGAAACAAAATACCCAGCATACATGTCTGCAAGACAAGACATGTGAAAGAAGAGGCTATTGAGGTTTAAGTTACCCTAAAAGTTTTTCCACGTATGTGCAGATAGATGTGACAGCATGGACTCCATACCACTGAGTACTCTGCTCACTTAGAGTATCCTCATTCTAAAAATATTATGACTATATTTTGACCGTATTATCAAGATACAATGTAGCTCTTGAAATCCATCTATTATGAATTTTAATTCTAAATGCCAAACAAATAATGATGATGATGATAATAAGAATAGTAACAATAATGATGATAATAATAATAAAACGTTATATGTTTTCTTTTCTACCCCCCCCCTTAATTCTCTAGATATATTTCAGTGATGACTATGCCCTGGGGAAGAAGAAGATGAAGGGAAAGAACAAGGATAGAATGATGATTGAGCTGGAGGAGGACAGGAAAGATGCAGACATTGAGTGGAGCAATATGAAGATCACCCAAGTTTGGTTCACAGACTTCAACAAGAAACAGGACAGGGAGGTAGGTCACTCTTATATTTATATATTTATTTATTTGTTTTGTTTTTCAAGTTCAAGTTCAAATTTGTTTATTCATTTCATTTTCATAAAAACCACAGCAAATGCAAATAAACATACAAGTATATATAGATACAAAAAATGTTCAGTTTATACAATAGCTTTAAATGAAATAGGAGAACAAAGGAAAAGCCCATGGTGGCCTTATTTACCCAGGGTATCCCCATCAGTGAGTAAAACACTGTTATACTCGGAGCCCTTCAAATAGTACATCAAACATTACAAACATATACATGAATACAAAACAACAATCATTACAAAGACATACCTGCAAGAAATATTAAGCTAAAATAAATATTAAAAAATAGGGCCCTATTATGGGCCCTGAAACTCTATAATTACAATGTCTGGCTCCATTTTATAAGCTGGCACCTGGCATGGTAATTCTTGGGTTTATTATCAAGGGTTAAATAAAGTGTACCAACCACCAAAACATGTTTCACTCTTAATGTAATGACTTTCGCATGGCTATTTCAAAATGTGAGCTTCAGATATTACTTCTACAAAGAGATTTTGCATTTTAAATACTTTCTCATTGAACAGTAGAACGTCACATGGAGTAAGGCGGACTTGCATAGAAAATAGCTTGCAAGGAAGCTAAGGTTGACTCGGGTTCCACACTTGAGCCCATTATTCTCAATGATCAGTGTGTTGAAATCATATGTATATGTATGTGTTCCCTCTCAATATCATCCAGACATGTTCTTTTTTCTCTTTTTATTAGACGTATGTATACAGGCTGGGCCTTGGATGAAAAATATGGTCACAATTCCACATTTCATTTTCTTTTGTCCGAGTTTCAATCCTGTACTCTATCTAAAATGTTCTCTTTTCTCTCGTTCTAGACCACTGTATACAGACCAGACACTGTGGATGCAAAAGCGTCGCCATCCCACTTTTCATTATCCCTTAGAATTAATGAGTTTTAACCCTAATCTCTCTCAAATTCCTCCTGACATGTTCCCCTTTCTCTGGTTTCAGACCACTGTATACAGACCGGACACTGTGGACGCAAAAGGGTCACCATTCCACATCATCGTGAGGCAGAAGTCTACAGGGCTGCTTTTGAAACACTACAGTCAGCTCCACAAACCTGTACAGGTGAATATGACATATGACAAAGTGTACATAGCAAATAAGTATTGTATACATACTTTGTCAGCTGCTGTAAGAAGGCTGTAATAGCTATGTATAGTCAGTGGCAGGAACAGCCTTTTTGCGGGCAGCCAAGGACTGTTACTTTCAATGATTTTGAAGAAAAAAAGCCCTTTCTACTTAAATAGCAATAATTGCAATTACAGTATGTTCAGAGCCAGAAGGGCATTCACTCTGTGTTAAAGTAAATGAGGTAATGCACTTCTGGATTCAAACAGATGATGTCTTCTTTACTATTATTTTGTTGAAACTCTCCTTCATGCATATTATCATATTTAGGATCAATTGTCACTAATGGACGGAAATTTACTTGGAGCAGCGACAGCACTTTTTCTTCTTTTGAAATTTTTCACATCATGAGACAGCCTATGCAATGCTTTTTTTATTATTTGTGTGTTTGTTTTGGGGACGGGATGTAAACCTACAATTGCCAGCCCTTTATTGAGGGTGTAAATTAAGAATATAACCCTTTTTTGCCACTGGCAACCACAAATTATTGTGTTTAACAATTTGTTTAGACTAAGAAAGTTAATATTTTTCTCCCCAAAACACAAAGAGTTACCCACGCTGTGAAGTTCACATCAATAGAATATATTTCATGCCCAATTTATCATTAAAACAAAGTATTTTACTCTCGAAGGTTGACTTTTGACAATAGTTCAGAGAAAGGCATTCCTAGAAGGGGGTTGAGTGACCCCATTTTAACTTTGTTTCTCTTCATTTGTAGCATTCTGCAAGTCGGTTTCTGGCATGTCATCCATCGGCTACAGGGAGAGAGCTGGTTTTCATGCTCCTGTTTTCACCCTTCCCTCCTAAATGTGAGTACATCTTGTTTCATTCTTGTGTAAACTTTGTGAACATACATTAACAGAGACATGTTGTTTTGTTTTGTTCTTTGTTTCATTTCGGGCTATATAGCCCCCATACTTAAATACACCTCTCATCAGATTGATATGGTAGCCAAGTGCATTCTTCTTTTGACTCCCAAGAAATATGAATGAAAAAATGATGAGAATAAAACATATCCTGACTATTTTTGCTCTTGGTCATTTCTGAACAGCTGGTCGCATTACCTTTGTCATTGTAAAGCTTGATGGCCGGCTTGAAGTGGTGGATAGGCGCATTGATGTCATCCTGACCTCTGAGGAATACGAGCGATGCTTCAAGGATGATGTTTGCTCGTTTCAGGTATGTAGAAAGAAAAAAAAACATAGATATTATATGGGCTAGTATTTATGAAGGCGGACAAAATTTAAACCCTGTCTAATAATAAAAATGATAATAATATTAAATTTATAACAAATTCAGAGATGCCAACCAGTACGGATTTCCCGTAATTGGTACGGAAATTAACGACCATTACGGCAGTACGGAATGTTGTCTAAAAATTACGGATTACAAAAAAAAAAAAAAAAAAAAAAAAAAAATTATTTTTTATTTTTTGCGCATAGGGATCTATCGTAGCAAGTGCTGTGCATTATGGTGGCCATCCATGAGAAAGATGGAAAAGTATCAAGTATTCTCTTAATAGAAGCCAATTTTTCATTGAAAACTTATGTGTTGTGGCGATGAACTGAAAGTCAATATTTAGCAACTTTGTGGGAGTAAAATCACAAAAAATTTCAGATAATCATGCGCGCATGCGTCCGCCTGCCATTCTTTTTAGATTCATGAGGCCGCATAGGAAATTACTGATTTATTCCCCAAATTACTGATTTTGAGCCTTATGATTACTGATTTTCTGTTCTGGAGGTTGGCATCTCTGCAAATGCCAAAAGACAAAAGATAACATTATCATACATAGCTCACATTAATTACAAACACAGAGGAATATGAAAACAAATTAGAAAAGATGTGTTTTCAGACACTTCTTAAAAGCTGTGAGTATGGCAACTCTTTAGAACAGGGGTAAGGGGTTTGGTTTTGCTGGCAAAATAGCTGTAATGTCCTCGGTATAATCAGCTGTCTGTCTTCACCTAAAAACTGACTCTGATTGGACCCAGGTTTGCAACTGAGTCATGTATTTCACCTAGGGATATTAAAGTTTGGTTACCAGACATAAATAATGATTGATACATGTCTGTCAAATCCAAATCACACACACCTCTAAAACTGAATTTGTTGTATTACTAGATAAATGGAGACATGTGCAATTGATGTAACAATTTTTTTTACCAATATGTCACAACATGTACTTTGTTAGAATCTATAGTTTTGTTCTTGCTCAGGAATGATTAAATACACATTTTCTTTGGAAAAAAAAGAAAAAAAAGTAAGAAATTAAATTAAGAAATAAGTTTTGCGCATGTCTTGTATATTTCATGTAGCAAGCACAAACATTAATTTCATTAGTATACTAATATTCTGTGCCCTATTCTTCCCCCAACCCCCTTTTTAGATGAACAACACCGTTGATGCCATTGGCTCAAGCTACATCTACCTGACCCTAATGGGGGCGTTCATGGTCTTCTCGGTCAACACCGGCACCCTGGTCCTTTCCACTCGTAAGGGGGACACCTCCGCACCTCTCCAGTGGGCCCCAAGGTCCCCCACCAAACTCTATTTCAACGCATCCATGGCTCTGTCCCAGACCCAAGGTGGTACATATGTAATGCTGTATGCTGAGGTGAGTTGGTGTGATGTGGTTTAGTGGTTTCACCCCCTCCCCCCCCCCCCCCTCCTAATATTTGCTGTGGATGGTTAACAGGTATGGGTTCATATTTTGGGCAAAAAATTAACTCTTTGATCTTCCTTTTTTGTTTGTAATATTTATTAAAGACGGTAGAGTACCTCTTTCTCTCTTTGTCCTGATTTCCTTATGTATACAACTTGTCAATTAATATCTTTCATTTTTTTATTACCTTCACAGAACCAGACTTCAGTTCATGTCATCAAAGTGACAGACAGAAACACAAAGGGAAAGAGAATGGCTGTCAACAAAGCATTCAAGTTGTGGTAAGTAAATTGAGTGAGTGTGTGAGAATGAGAGAGAGAGACATGTTGTACCGAAATAGAAGATTGAATAGTAATCAACTTCCAAAACGATTGTATACATTTATAACATTTTATGTGACATAATGCCTTAATTTATTCTATAAAATATAACTGGTAATTATAAATATTTCTTTTCCAGATTATAAATGCCCTTTGATTATTAGTTTCTAACCAAAGAGGGAAAGATTTGCTTTTATGATACAAAACTAAACTTAGGCCAAGTTCATCCATCTCCACTTCACTCCTTTAATGACAAAAATGTCAACACGTTTAACATAAAACCCTCCGGGTTAACTTCTTCATATCTGAATAAGCCTGTTCTTTTTCATCAAAGCATGGATGAAATATCCGCAGAGGAAAAAAAACTTGCTTCTCTGTGCAACATCTGAACATCTCTAGTCTCTCTCCCAACACAGGAACAGCACCAGTCCAAGCCCTGGTCCAGGTCCCGCTCCTGAACAGACCATCCGACGACAGGAATGGAGCCTGAAACGGGATCCATTTGGTCATGTGGCCCTCTATGTTCGTGGTCTCATTCTGGGGCTGGTGGATGATGCAGTCCAGAAGGTAGATGGAGAGTTCTCTGAGGAGGATAGGAAGACACATGCGGAGCAGGGCAGGAGGCTAGCTCATCAGTACTTTGGGCTGAGATTAAAGGTAAGTTCATCTTTTGTAACGGGAAAAATTAATATTTATTTTTCGGGGGCTACTTTTCAACCTTGCCTGCATGAAAATAACATTCTGAAATTTGTTTTTGCATTGAACTCTATGCAAATTTAGGGGGGCTCTTTTCTGATTTTCGGGGGCTATCTCGCCCTGAGCCCCCGTGTATTTTTATGCCTCCGCCACCGAAGGTGGTGCCGGAGGCATCATATTTTCGGGTTGTCCGTCCGTACGTCCGTCCGTCCGTCCCGTTTGACCGTTATCACAATATCTCAAGAACCATTTAAGATTTAAACTTAAGACTCGGGAATAGTATTTATCACCATAGGAAGACGATCTGATTAGATTTTGGAGTACGTAGGTCAAAGGTCACAGGTCACAGAGGTCAACTTATGAAATTCCTTGTATTGAGTTTGTTAGCGCGATATCTCAAGAACCATTTGAGATTTAAACTTCAAACTTAAGGATAGTATGTATCACCATAGGAAGACGATCTGACTAGATTTTGGAGCACGTATGTCAAAGGTCAAGGGTCACAGAGGTCAACTTATGAAATTCCATACATTGAGATTGTTATCATGATATCTCAAGAACCCCTGGAGATTTAAACTTCAAACTTAGTGATAGTGTGTATCACTATAGGAAAACAATCTGATTACATTTTGGAGCACGTAGGTCAAAGGTCAAGGGTCATAGAGGTCAACTTATGAAATTCCATACATTGAGATTGTTATGATATCTCAAGAACCACTGGAGATGTAAAAACTTCAAACTTAAGGATAGTGTGTATCACCATAGGAAGACGATCTGATTAGATTTTGGAGCACGTAGGTCAAAGGTCAAAGGTCACAGGGCTCATTATGTATGCAAAAACAGCTTGTGATCGCGTTATCTGAACAACCGATTGATGGATTCCTGCCAAACTTTGGTCATGTATGTATCTTGCAGAGCTGATGAACTGATTAGATTTTGGGGTCACGAGGTCAAAGGTCAAAGGTCACAGGGCTCATTATGTATGCAAAAACAGCTTGTGATCGCGTTATCTGAAGAACCGATTGATGGATTCCTGCCAAACTTTGGTCATGTATGTATCTTGCAAAGCCAATGAACTGATTAGATTTTGGGGTCACGAGGTCAAAGGTCACAGCGCACATTGTGTATGCAAAAACAGCTCGTGATCGCCTTATCTCAAGAACCGATTGATGGATTCCTGCCAAACTTAGGTCATGTATGTTACTTGCAGAGCTGATGAACTGATTAGATTTTGGGGTCATGAGGTAAAGGTCAAGGTCATGCGGCTCATTATGTATGCAAAAATAGCTTGTGATCGTATTATCATTAGAACAGATTGATGGATTCCTGCCAAACTTAGATCATTTATGTATCTTGCAGAGCCAATGAATGGTTCATAAGATCAAAGGTCATGGGCTCATTATGTATGCAAAAATAGCTTGTGGACGCATTCTCATTAGAACTGACAGATGGATTACTATTTAACTCAGGAAATCTTGCAGAGCCAATGAACTGAGTAGATTTTAGGGTCATGAGGTCAAAGATCAAAGGGTCATATATGTATATGAGAAATTGCTTGTAATCACGATATTCTGAGAACATGTTAATGGATTACAATTGAACTTGAATTTGAAAAATTTCTTCCGTTTCGGTTTGTAAAATTGCTCTATGACGGAGGCATCATTTTCGACTGCGCGCAGTCGAATTCCATCTAGTTTTCACTGTTTTGTAAGAGCCCGTGGGAGTCTTGTCTTTATTTAGTCCTTATTGTCTTTATGATTGTAAACGTATATTTGTTGTTTTAGCTGACGGAAATAAATACAATACAATAAAACTGTAGTGTATTGATATGTTTGTATATGATTTGAAACCTTTAGTCTCGCAAGTTCTCAATGGAGGAGATTTATTAATTACACATCCTCCATATTAGCACCGAGTAGGACTGGAAGACAGCTAGCTTATTTTGAGGCAAGACTGAAGATTACAAGAATGGTTAATTTTGCAGTTTTTGTGACACATATTCCTACAAAAATGGAATTCGTAGTTAAACCGTGGAGCAAACAATAACAAAAAATCAAAACATACTTCTCCCACCTCAGGGGCCCGGAGCTGCAGAAGAACAGCCTACAGAGCAGAGGGAAGAGGGCGAGGGTGACTTGGACCAGAACGATCACCGGGTTCAGCCTCCAGTTCAAGGGGATGATCTCAGGGATGATGAAGCAGAGGAACATCCTACCGTCTAGGAGCCCTCTGGCGGTTTGTGACCGATGAGCAGTTCCTCATGGAATACTGTCTGAATTCTTATTTATAACTTGATTTAACACACATGAATTGTTTTGAGAGATATGTTATAATATATTTGGGGCTTTGATGCAAAATAAGTCTAGAATGTTATGAATGGCAAGATAACTAGGAAAAATAAAGGTCAAGTTTCCAGGGTCTCTCTAAATATCTACGTTTAGTTCTAAGTATAATTTTAAGTTGAACTTTCCACTGCAATTTTCTGGGGTTTCTCTAAGGCCAAGGAAAGGAATTTTTCTTGCTTCTGGAGGCCATAATTGTTGAACCCTATGCATCAGCATGCAGCAGCTTCACAACTTCCCCTCAAGCCAGTTACTGGACTCTTACTGCGCCTTTACTCGTCCATTGCATACCGCTCGCATTGGTTGCGCAGCCGGGTCCGGACCGGCTGGCGCGCGGACTTTGTTTGATGTTTCTACTGTAAATTGGAGCAGTAAGCACGGCAAAACAACGTATTGCTGTTTACGCTGTTTTGCAAGGTCTCGCTAGTTATAGAATCTACAAATAAGTAGTAAGAATTTTTACCAGTAGTCATTTCATCTTACTGGTGAGAACAAATTGCTCCATCTAAAACTTGAGGGCAGTGACAGCTGCCTCATTGATCGAGGCATTCATCGTCGGATGGATTGTTTATCTGGACAAAGTCCATTGGACACATCTCCTTTACCATCTTGCTCGACAGTGATGGCTCGTCTTGAATTAAATTGAAAATGGTTTATTAAAAACAATATATAGCAGCCCGAAAGCTGAATTCCATATCGATTCACAATAACATAGCAGTAAAATCGCATTTGAGTTTACAAAAATATACATAAATCTGAACAATTTGAAAGCATATAGTTCAAGTCAGTACATTATAACTGGTCTCTGCTCTATATTGGTGGAACTCCTTCTTGACCTTAACTTAGTGACCTGAAATTCTACTCGCCTGATTGGGGATACTTGATAACCCTCTCTCTTTCCTTTCCTCTTCCTTTCTATCAACTATTCCTACCTCTTCCTCGTCTCTGCTCTATATTGGCTGAACTCCTTCTTGACCTTAACTTAGTGACCTGAAATTCTGCCCACATGATTGGGGATACTTGTTTTACTTTCACACGGAAACTAGAAACTGCCTTTCGAGTTAACAAATACTAACCCGTTTTCCATAGTATCCTGCCTTGCCGAACAAGGCCTGCTTATTCTCAGTGACAAACATCACCATTGCATTCTGCTCCTCCTTGGAGAAGTTGGCCTCCCTTTCTCTTACTTTAGCCAATGGGTATGAATTCTCTATTCCAAGAAAGAAGTAGGATCCTGTTCTTCTCTCTTTCCTTTCCTCTTCCTTTCTATCAACCTTTCCTACCTCTTCCTTGCTTCTCTTCTGTCTCCTCTCCTTGACATCTCGCCTTTTAAAAAATCTAATCGATGCCACATCACACCTATTATATTGTGTCTCTTTCCCGGTCATGTCATGCTGCCTTCTTTAATGCCGAATTATTGGCTCCTTCTCCTCATTCTCATAATCGCACTTCTTACATTTGTAGGTCAGATCTGAATCATGCCTGTCTTGCATGTGTGCCTTAATTAACTCCAGAAAAGTGTCAAACTCTTCTCTGCACTTGCAGCAACAGGGCATGCCAGGGCCTTGGTCTTTAACTCCTGCCACTTCTTCCTTCCGTACATCCTTTCACTCCCGCTGGCATCCACCAGCAGCTCTGAGCAAGGCCTCGCAGTCCGCCCATGCTTTCTGCTTCCTCTCCTCCACCTGAGCAATGATAGACAAATCATCAAATAAAATTATTAGTTCCCTATAAATTAATCACTTTAAAATGTTCCACTTAGAAATGTATGGAATTTTTAAATTTAACTTTGGAAAAACCCTGATAAAATCTCCATAGCACCTACAAATATTTCATTTGTGTTGATATTATTTAAATAGAATCATTACAGAGTGCCAATTCTTATTACACATATCCTTATCAATAGTAAGATAATTTTGGTTTTAATTTCTCACAGAAACTATACACTGCCTTTTAAGTTAACAAATACTTACCCTTTTTCCTCAGTAGCCTGCCTTGCCAAACAAGGCCTGCTTATTCTCGGCGACAAATCACCATTGCCATCTGCTCATCTTTGGAAAAGTTTGCCTTTCTTTCTCTTTTCTATAAAGAATAGAAATATCACCTAGTAGAATTCAGATTACATTCATGCATAATTCAGTTGATTTAGATTTAGATTTAGTTTTTTAGGTAAGTACTCCTTTAAAAACAGAAATTAATCTTTGAAAACAAATAAATATCTCATTAAGTGCCCACACATAAAATGTTACCTGTCATTCTTGAGTTGGACCTGCATGCCAGGGCCTAAATGGTTTTCATCTCCTGCCACTTCTTCCTGACATCCTTCCACTCCCGCTGGCTTCCCCCAGCAGAAACCATGTTTGTTTGAAAATTGAAAACAAACGTCCAACAGAGAATCATATCTTTGTTCTAACCTCTTTCTTTGCTAAGGGCTTTACTCCTTGCTGTCTTTCTATCCAGATCTTCTTCATTCAGCATACTGCAAATCCTATTGACTTCATCTTTATAAAATCGGTACTTCTTGAATTTCTTGTCGGATAGCTGCACAAAGGGATCTATTTTATCCTCCACAATTCTCTTAGCTCCTTCATTTGCAGCCACCATTTTGAAGAATTGCAATCAACTGCCAAACAGTTGCAAATTTTGCGCTACCTCCAAATTTATTGCAAAGTTGCGCTTGATCTGCGATTTATTGCAAGATTTGCGCTAGATATTTGCAGCGCAACTTTTTCTTGCAACAGGATTGAACGCAACTGGCGTTTAATTGCAAATTTGCAATTAAACGCCAGAGTTGCGCTTGATTTTAATGCAACTTTCTTGCAACGCCCCATAAGACTGCACCAGTGGCGAAATAATTGAGAGCGACAAATATCTGTAGCTGTGCCGGTAGGGCCTTGCTTCTTTGGGTCTTGTGGATCAGTTTGGGAGTTAACAAGTCTATCAATGTAATACAGCCTACTCTAGTAAATCTGTACTTTCTTTCAAGATCTCTATCTCCGAATTCCAGGGGCTGTGTTCTATCTCGAAATACTCAAGGGATTCTTTTCTGCCTCTCATCTCCTCATCAAACATTAGCATTGCAGCCATGATTGTAATTGAATGGGTGTGGCATGGCAAACGTCCAAAAGAGAATCAGATCTTTGTCCTAATCTGCTTTTGTCTTCTGTTTTGACCTTTTGACTTCCTCTACACGGTGAATGGTGCAGGATGCAGTATTGCGGTTCACACCGTGTGTGGTTGCGGTGTCGTCCAAAACTGCACCAGTGGCGAAATAATTTAGAGCCACAAAAATCTGTAACTGTGCTGGTAGTGCCTTGCTTCTTTGGGTCTTGTGGCTCAGTTTGGGAGTTAACAATTCTATCAATGTAATGCACCCTTCTCTTGGAAATCTATACTTTCTTTCGATATCTTTATCTCCGAATTCAAGGGGCTGTGTTCTATCTCGAAATATTCTAGGGATTCTTTTCTGCCTCTCCTTTCCATCGATCAGCAAACATCAATATGGCAGTCATGATTGTAATTGATTGGGTGCACCATGGCAGCCCAAGCCTGATATTGATTTCTTATAAGTTGCGATAGATTGTGAATCAATCGCAACTTTACCCAGAGTTACGATTGATATCAATCGCAACTTTTCATGAGATGGAATCAATATCAATTTTAAAGTTGCGATTGATTTGGGGAGTTATGATTGATTCTCATCAATCGTAACTTTTTGTAAGACGGGGTCTGAAATTCCCTTCTACCATGTAGACCTCTAGAAATGGTCAAAGGACCAAATGTAACCCTACATACATGCACACTTCCAATGTGAAAAATACTTATGTATACAATCATGCTTATAGTGCTACTTTTAATACACTCACCTCCTTGAACTAAACCAGCAATGATCCGACTCCCCTCCATAATTGAATGCTGTCAAAGAAGTAGAATATACTTAAAGAAATTGAGGATCTAACTAGAAACCACCCAAGAAGCCATTCATACTGACATTTGATTTTAGCCATCATACCCGTGTGTAGTGACTTTATCATTCTGGTGAACTTCTCAGGGCATCCATACTTTTGGAGTAGTTGCCATAGACCTGTCCTACCAACAGTGTCAAATGCTTTGGTGAAATCCACAAAGACCACATAGAGAGATCGGTTGTGCTCGATACACTTCTCCTGTAATTGTCAGAGGCAGAAGATCATGTCCACTGTGCTCCATTTGTTTCCTCGCCTCCCTTTCCTTTTCTTCCGCCTCCCGCCTCTGTTTGGTCCTCCTCTCTTTCTCCTGCTTCTCTTTTCTGGTCCTCTCCTCTTCTCTTGCTTGTCTCTGCTCTACTTTTTCCTTCTCCTCTCTCGCCTTTCTGTCCTGGTATCTTGGTCCCACCATCGAGTATCCTAAGAAATCCACTTGGACCAGCTCTTCTTTGTGTTTCTGCTGGCAATGTTCTGTCAAATCTGTTTCCTCCTTATATAATTTGAACGTTGGATGACCACCCTCTTGTTTCTTTTGCTTTTTCTCCTTTCTCGCCTCCCTTTCCTTTTCTTCCGCCTCCTGCCTCTGTTCTGTCCTCTTCTCTTTCTCGTTCACTCTTTCTTGGTCTTCTTCTCCTCTACTTTCTCCTGCGTTGACTTCTGTTCCTCCTCTCTTGCTTGTCTCTGCTCTACTTTTTTTTCCTTCTTCTTTTTCTCCTTTCTCACCTTCCTTTCCTTTTCTTCCGCCTCCCGCCTCTGTTTGGTCCTCCTCTCTTTCTCCTGCTTCTCTTTTCTGGTCTTCTCCTCCTCTCTAGCTTGTCTCGGCTCTACTTCTTTTTCCTTCTCCTCTCTCTCCTTTCTGTCCAGGTTTCTGGGTCCCGCCAATGTGTACCCCAGAAAATCAACTTGATTTACCTCTTCCTGGTGAAGCTGTTTGTAATGATTGAGCATTAACATTCGCTCTTCTCCCTCAAACGGGCACACTCCACACTTTAAAGTTAACAACCGTCCATGTACCTTCCGCAAATGATAATTATACTCTGGGTAGCTTCTGAAGGTTCGTTTGCACTGATTACAGGGTACAACCATGGTCTGTAAAAAGAGTCAATAGAGGAAAAATAGAAGAAAATACATCTATATACAAGGAGTAGACAAAGAGTGGATAATAGCTTCTCTTCTCTCTCCTGCCTTGCCTTCTTTTCCTCCTCATCTCTCTCCTTTCTAAGTATCTTGGTCCCGCCAATGTGTACCCCAAGAAATCCACTTGAATGAGCTCTTCCTTATGGTTCTGTTTGTAATGATCATTCATAACCACTCGCTCTTCCGCTTCATGTGAGCAAACCCCACACTTCAAGGTTAAAAGTCTTCCATGCACCCTCCTTAAATGGTAGTTGAACTCGGGATAGCTCCTAAAAGTCCTCTTACATTCATTACAGGGTACTACCATAGTCTGTAAATAGAGACAATAGAGGTGCGACACCCCCCCCCCCCACCTGTCATATATTGTCGGTAGAATTGCGGTGCTGTCAAGTTTGCGTAATGACCAAAGATGTATGTATTTATCGAAGTGATTCAAGCATGAACAACAATATACAAAAACAAAAATATAGGCGACGCTTGGTAGTCAAGATGCAAAGGCGCGTGAGAGTACGCGAAAGAAGAGAAAAAGAGATAGAGAAACGTCACAAAGCTCAAAAGTTGGACCATTGTGACGTGAAAAAATAGGAGAAAATTAGAAATATAGGGAGCGTTAGAAGAGCGTATCTCCAGGGGAGATACGCGGAAAGCAAAAGAAAAGGAAAAGAAGAGGCGCACAGAAAGAAAAATAAGCAATTGAAAAAGCATTATGACATAATAAAGATATTCAAGTTCAACAAAGTTCAGTGTGAGTTAGGGAAAGATCTGAAAGTGGCGTTCATCCCGTCCGGGTGGAGAGTGCCAAATTTGAAGATTATCCTCTCCTCCATCAGCTTCCTTTCTTTCTCATCTCGGCAAGATTTCAGCACACATACTTGAAGGTCATCAGCATTATGATCTCCGATGTTGAAGTGGTGAGCTACAGGTAGTCCGGCTGTCTTCAGGCGTATGGAACGCAGATGCTCTGTGATTCTATCGGCTAGGCGTCTCTTTGTCTCCCCGATGTACACCATGGAACAGCGGGTACATGTCAATCCGTAAATGACATTAGTGGTGGTACATGTGAATTCTCCTCTGATATGCCAAGTTCCTCTGGGGCCCACCACATCATGGGATGAGACATGGGCGCAGGTCTTGCAACGAGGACGCTTACACCGAGTGGTACCAGGATTAGTGATGCTGTGGGGTATCTGACTGGGAAGTCTTGAGCAGACAAGTTCGTTTTTGATGTTCTTCCCCCTCCGGTACGCCGTGATGAATGGGTTGGCCCCAAATACACTAAGAGTCGTCTCGTCAGCCCGGAGGATGTTGATGTTTTCACGTACGGCCTTAGCAATTCGCTGAGATGTATGGTTGTACGTGAGTACAAGAGGGGTGCGGGAATTAGAATCCTTACGTCTCTTAGTCAGAGCGTCATGTTGCGTGATTCGGCTAGCCTTCATCATTCCCCCTTCGACGATCTTGTCGGGATAGCCTCTGTCAGAGAAGAAAGTTCTCATCTCCTTCGCTCTTGACTTGAAATTAGTGTCGTCGCTGCAAATTCGTCTTAGTCTCAGAAATTGTGAAAAGGGGATGGCCTTCTTACATGATGGGGGATGACAAGAGTCGAACCTGAGATATGAATGCGAGTCCGTAGGTTTGTAGTGAATATCAGTCGCAAGAGTGTCACCCTCCACACTGACTGTAACATCGAGAAATGTTATAGACTCATCTGAGATGTCATGAGTGAAACGCAGTGATCGATGATAACTATTCACGTACTGGATGAACCTCTCTAGTTCGTCTCTAGTGCTCGTGAACACGCCTACGTAATCGTCGATGTAACGCTTCAGGAGAACCGGTTTAGGATGTTGATAATTCTGTAGCATTTGCTCCTCGATGTGCCCAACGAAGAGGCATGCATAAGCTGGTCCCATCTTGGTGCCCATGGCAACGCCCTTCTTCTGTGAGTAGCATTCACCGTCAAAGTTGAAAGACGACAAAGTGAGGACGAGCTCCGCCAATCTAAGTAGAGTAGCGTCGCTGGGTCTGTCTCTGCTTGGATAGCGTTGAAGGAAATGTTTGATAGCCTTCAAACCGTCATCTGTTGGAATGTTAGTATACAGTGACGAAACATCCATGGAGAAAAGTAGACGATGAGGTTCATCCCCTTGGAAGTTGAAATCTTTGAAGAGCCGAATGGCATCTGATGAGTCCTTCACATAAGTAGGGAGCTTGGTGACCAGAGGGGAAATAATGCTGTCTAAATACTGGCTAATTAGCTCTGTAGGGCAGTTGATGGTGGAAACGATAGGACGTCCAGGATTATCAACTTTGTGGATCTTCAGGAGGAGATAGAAAGTAGCACATTGCGGGTTATCTTGGATGAGATTGGCAGCATTCGAGGGTAAAGCTCCTGCATGTATGAGTTCTTTAACGGTCCTAGAGATGTTGTCTTGTTGATCAGGAGTAGGATCGGTTTCCAGTCTTGAGTAGAACTCGTCGTTAGACAACTGTCGCATTGCTTCCTGAACATATAAATCACGTCTCCATACTACAATGGCTCCACCCTTGTCGGCAGATTTGATCACATACTCTTTGTTGTTGCGAAGCTGTTTGATAGTATGACGATCTTGGGGGGTAACATTAGCAGAAGCAGAGGTGTCCGATTTCAAGATGTTACCAATGTCAGTCCTACACTTAGTAATGAATACATCAAGAGATGGGTGTTTGCCTTCTGGAGGGTTCCAAGATGATCTACGTGGCTTCAGAGCATCGAACGGATCAAGCTCATACTCTTGACCGTTGTCATTCTGAGTAACATCGTCATCTGATTCCTTGTAGAAATGAGCTTTAAGACGCAACCGATATATATATATATACAAGGAGATCTTGAGAGGTTAATACTGTCACTCTACTGTATACTGGTCACTTATCAATGATTCTGACCTATCCGTACCACTTGTAGTAGGAGAAGGTCCAGAGGGGCGTGGATTCACAGGGCGATTGCCTAGGACTTAGGGTTCAGCAGATCCCTGATAACTTAGAAAGTATAAAAATTAATTAACATCCAATTCATATAATCACTCACCACTGCAATTACCAAATCCATCTTCATTATCTTCAAGAATCAATCATTGACTTTGTCATTATCAGCAGTTGGTTCTTCCCCTTTATGGCAAGGGTTATGAGATTTGGTTTGCTCATTTTATAACTTGAATGGTGACTATTTCTGAGACGACATCTGATATGGCCTTTTAGATATCCATCGTGCTCGTGACATGACGGTTCAACAAGTGCGTCTGTTTTTTCATGAAACTATCCCAAGTATGGCTAGAGTCACTCTTCGTATTGTCTTCAATGGTGTTGATATGTGGATGCCATTGATGCAGCTAGTGCAATCCATCACAGAGCCAGTAGCTTAGACACGTAATGCCACAAAAACTTGGAGACTGGGGGGCAGTGCGTAATTCCTTCGTGTTTCATGGCCGATTCTCACTGATTGGCGGTTAATTAAGTGAAGGCATCCCTGCCTGCTGATCTTATTCAATTTGAATATTTGTTCGTCACTGTATAGGTCTAAGGGATGCCTTCTCTCTCTTCACTAGTATACTATTAGGCTTATACACGTCATGAAGTAGAATATTTGCATAGAATAAAACTCACTTCGCCATCGGGATATTGAAGTTCAGATGACATTTCATCATGTTGTGGTAGCTGTATATGGTGCCGTGCAATGTCGAAAAGGAAATCGGCTACAAGATGGGTGTGCCGGAATGCTGCAGATGTTGATAATCCGTCACTTCTCCCAACTTCCTGGTAGTACGTAACCACCTCCTGCTACATAATCGAGCAATGTCATCAACATGTGCTCTGATTTCGCGATACCGCGGAGAGCCCCGCCCCCCTCCATGCATTAAATTCCATCCCCAGCTCTTCAATCTGCCTTTCGTCAAGGCGAAGATAACTTTTCGTTGATTCCTCGGTAGAGCACGGCTTCCTTATTTTGTTCGGCTCTCTCTCTCTGTATATCATACAGGAATATGTTTTCATCATCGGCAAGTTTGGTTAAAAAGCAAAATGTTTTTATTTCCCAGGACTGCTTCAGATTTTCCTTTCAGGCTTTCAACATTGTGATTAAAGCATCAATCTGCTAAAACTTTGTTTAATTTAGTAAGATGTCTGTGTGACATGTAAATCAACCAAACGTCCTGCCACGCCATCATGGTGATGTGGGCCAACATCGATCTTCATCCTCCGGCCTCTTCCGAAGCATCCAGTCCTGGCAAGTTGAGCTCTCTTCGACTAATGGAAATGTTCCACTAAATTGCACAGGCAACAATGAGGGGAAATACTGTCTTCAGATGGACACTTAGAAGGTTGAGGCATGGGAAACGCCGCTTCCACATGCCGAATGTCCGCTCAATGATAGACCTTCCTCTCTTGTGTGCAAAATTCCCTATTGACTGACAAACTTACTTACACGATTGCAGTGATTTAGGGTGTAACTTGTAAGGGAGTCAGGGAGGAGTATGTAATGTAATGGGCAATTTGAATTCTACAACATTCATATTCGTACTATCGTATCCTAGGTTTTAATTTCAATTTACATTAATTTGAATTTAAAGTACCTCAATCTGAACGGTTCCTCTTCGTAATCCTCAAAGGGATTTCCCCTATCCCGGAGGCCTCTGGCCGGTTGTTGTAGGCCTACATCATTTGCAGCTGCTTGCTCCAGCTCCTCCTCTAGCTGCTCCAGCTCAAGATTGTGCTGAAGCAGCACCAAATTGTGCAGCATTTCAGCCATATTTACATTATTTTTACTGGAGTGAATATAAAATGAAACAAATGTTAAAACAATTGTGTGTTTTTTCAAGCATAAATCAACTTCTAAATATTTTTTAAAAGAAAGATATGTGGACTTTTTTTCTTCAATTACGTATAATTTCAAGTATCCGCCATTAGTATTTCCTCTAGTTTTTGAAACTCTTTTGCACTATGTTAAGTTTTTAAGTGTTATCACTATGTTGAAACACAGCCAAGATGAATGTGTTCCTTAGTCCTTACGTTGTTTGGATGGAGTAGTTTGGATGCCTCGTATGTCTCCCCGCTTTGCTCTGCCTAGATAAGATGTGCTGGCTTCGGAGACTATTCGGAGGTGTGTCAAACGTCAAACCAATGAGAGTGCAACTAAGCGAGATTGACAGCTCGACGCTCCTTATTTATACTCTCCAGGGCTGCTTAGTCTTTAATTACGTGCAGCATAAAACAATGCTGATTGGTAATTAAACTTACGCGGGTGTGTGCTTCATACAAGTCTCCAAAAGACGACATGCTGGAATCTCGATCAATCATGACGTCTTGTAACTCTGCCATGGTCAACTTGATGGGGGCTACCTCCTGAACAGGTACTTTAATGGTGAGTTTGGGGCATTTAACTGCCAGTTCCTGTTCCCTAACGGCTATCTCTTGGAGTTGTAGGTAGGGGATCGATCGGAGTTGTTGGTGGGGGATCAATCGGAGTGGTATGGTTGTGGGCGGGAGACGTCACTAGAGAATCGTCCTTGCCGAAGTCGTCGACTAAAGATGACATACTGCAGTTCAAGTCTACCTCCAAGTCCTCTAACTCTGCCATGGTCAACTTGATGGGGGCTACCTCCTGAACAGGTACTTTAATGGTGAGTTTGGGGCATTTAACTGCTAGATCCCGTTCCCTAACGGCTAT